GTCTTTGTCCATTAATTCACCTCTTAAGTGACTACAAAATCTGATGGTAACCAGACTCTCTGGGATGACAGTATTATTGGCCTTTTCTTTTTGCATCAACCTCCGTCTATATAGATAGATGGATACAAACAGCTAAAGTCAGTTTATACAAAAAGCCAAATGGGTCAAAACTGTTCAAAAGTAATGCAAACTTCAGACGAGTTGTAAAGAGGCAGACAAAAAGCAAAACAGACGCTGCAAGAAAGCATTTTAGTTTTTAGTTTATGAGCTGTCTACTCTACTAAAAAAAACACCTGTCATATGTTATAAATAAATACCCAACAATACTTTATTGTAATTGAACAAATCATCTGTAGACCAATAATAGTAGTAACAACAACTCTAGTAGTCAAAACGTTGGACACCTCAGTCAGTTTGAGATCTCTTACACAGAGTCTATAGCAGTTATTATATAGAAGTGTGTAGATTCATGCAGAAAAGAGGACAACTACATGCGGTGGACATCTGCCAGCTGGGGGCAAGGGTCTATAGTGACCCTCGATCACTATTTGAAGGGCATATACATGTAATTTAATGCTTACACAAATATACTGAAGTATTAGAGGCAAGATACAATTAACGGAAGCTCCTGCAATAGTACACTATTCTCATATAACTGGAATCACTGAAGCATGGCAAATGTAGAGCAATGGTAAAGAATACAACATCCATGGGTAGTCAGTATTCCAGAGTGACAAGAAAGACTGAAGTGGTGAAAGTGAAGCATTACACATGAAAAAGAGCATGCAGGATCAGGAACTCAACCTTGATGCATCCAGGGTCTCAGAAAACATGTGGGTCAGACAGATAACAAATGAGAGGGATAAGACTAGAAGTTCTTTAGGCGCCACTAATTTAATCTATTAATCACAATGCAGTTTAACATTATGAATTTAGGAACATCTGTGCAAAGGAAGAAGTGGTAATCATGGGAGATTTTAATTTTTCACGCACAGATTGGGAATGTCCAATAAGGATGTCATCAGCTGAAAGTTAAATCATAGATGTGGATAACAACAGTTATTGTAATCAGTTTCTCAAAGCTCCTGGACTGATTTAGTGTTTTCAATACTATATAATTATAAGAAACTGTGAGTTTGGTTGTTACCAAGCAGGTATGTGGAACCAAGTCAAGCTCCAATCTATGGACCTTTCTGAAAACCTCAGAAAAAGACTTATTAATTCTCATCAATTTGTAAATGGTTAAAAACCATTTCTAAGGTTTTGGGGTTCCACCAATCCACTATCAAGCAGATTAACTACAAACAAAAAAAGATCAAGACCACAGTCAGTCTACCCAGGAATGGGCATCCTACCACATCCCTCAAGAGCAAACATCAAGGAAATTACGAAGATGAGACAAACTTACCAGCTTTTACATTAAACGTTTCGTTAAAGTCACTGCAGTTGTAGGATGTGCCACCAGTTTACCGAATCTTAAGGTTCACAAATAATACTTTGTCTCACACAAACAATTATTAAAATATTATAAAGTTTTGTGCTATTTGTTATTAGAACTTAGATTAAGATCTAATATTATTTTAGCTTCCAAACATATGGGACATAGGCAAAAATCCTTTGGATATGTGAAAAGGGACAATCTAACCTTTTCTTGGCACCAAAGATGTATGACGAGGAACACTGACCGTGATAAATCAGCATCACTATGAAAAAAGTGATGAAAAACAATTCAAAGCGAGGGGTGTTATGTTAAATCTGAAACCGGTTAGACTTATATCGTGCACCTTTATGATCAACATATTGAAAAAAGGCTATTTTATACCCTAGAATCAGTCCAGAGAAAAGCAACCAGATACATCCCTAGGCTCAAAGATATATCCTACAGCTAATACAACTGAACAGAGAGCGCTATGAGTGGACCTTATACAAGCCTGCAAAATCTGAAAGGCACTTTCAAAGTCAACTTTTTAACATGGACTTCTTCAGAATCAACAATGAAACGTGAACTGGAGGACATTTGTGGAAACGATGTGGAAATACTTGTAAGACCGAGACCAGCAGTTCTTAAAAAAGGGTTAAGAGAGTCTGGAACAAGCCACCCAACCTTGTCAAAGTAACAACCCTGGCTTTCTTTCAAGAAACAGCAGAATTAAAAGGATCAACTGCCTACGAGCAACTAAAAGAGCTACATGGGCCAAATGGCCCACTCTCATTTATAACCTCTTATGCTCTCATGCCTCATTGCCAGGTGAAACCGTATAACTATTAAGTCAGAAGCATAGACTGAACATTAGCTGGGCATTACATCTGGTTAATGGCAGGCAGCCACAAGCTGTCAGAATTTCCTCCGCTTAATACCAGGTCAATATCAAAATAATAATAGAAATACTAGCTACTGCTCTCTGCTATTCTAAAATTCAATGATCTCCCTTCATTCTCCTGCTAGCTAGCCAACTTCTTTTTATTTTCAGATATGAGAAATATCAAACTGGATTCAGATTAACTGGCTTTTGTTTGGAAACAGCCTTTGGAGGTGAGCCTTTAAATCAGATTAAACCACACAAACAATGGCAAAAAAGATGTCTTCTAAAATAACAGTAGTATGAGCCCGATCTTGTCAGATATGTTGCTTGAATACATTTAACCCTAAGCTGCTTGAAACAACCTGAACCCATCAAATAAGCAGAAAAATGTTGCAGGAAAAGGGAGAGTATCAGAATCAACATGCAGTGGGTTAAAGTTATAATGTCAAGAAACAAATCAGATTTGATTGATTTAAGGCATTTCTTTGATTTCGAAAAGAGTGAATTTTTACCTGCCTCAAATTTATGGTCCAGATAAAGTCATCCATTATACGTTGCTATGTGTTGATAAAATTAAGAGCTCAAAGTTAAAAATCCCCACACCCGCATCATTTTTTAAGTGATCAAAAACCAGGGACACAGGTGGTTCATGGATTATTTTGTTCCAGAAAAATTAAAAACATTAAATCTAACATTACAAATTCTTCCCGTACACAATGCCCTTAAACTTGACCTAGATCAGAAATTGTTATGCCAGAACATTACAGTTGAGTTCTTGCCACCATGCAATACAGCACTAACCCCACCCAATGATCATCAAGTCATTTCACTGCATAACATTATTACATTACTTAGGAACATAACCTGGATTTGCAATGATTTACAATGAAACCCTCCATACTGTATTTGGGTACAGACAAGTGAAACACTCAGTCTAATTTATGGTGCCTAACCCAACTCTGTTCCATTAATTCCTATGGGAGAACCTCCTGCTTTAAGTAGCATGGGCAAAGTTTACGCTCTTACAGTCCTGACCTCTGTATATTTGCATTGTTCTAATGGGGGAACATTCCCCTGTCGACAGCGTAACTTTCTCGTCTCTAACCCCGGGGGATAATGGGGACTGCCTCTCATCACAGAAGGATCCACAGATACCTCTCATTAAGCTGAAAGAAAGGCCCATGTGATGCTGTGTGTGGAGAAGAGCCAGGCTCACAACTGCCACAGCTCCCTATTTAAGGCCACAATTTACAGTGGGTCTGGTTCCCTGAAGTATTTACAGGCTCCCACCGAGTCAGCACACAAGGCCCTCACTCTACCGGGGTGATGACAGCTCAGTCAGCCACTTCCGGCCCCTACAGCAGACAGCTTGTACAAGAGGCAGCACGCATCCGAACACAAGGCCTCTGTTAAGATGCTAGATTTTTAATTGTGCTCTTTACTTCATAAAAAGGGGAAAAGATGAGAGCAGTGTTAACGACCCGGAGAACTACCCCTCTTTAACCATACCTTAACACTTATTTCCAGCATAAATCACAATCTCGGCAGTGACAGGTACTGTAAAAGGCAACAAAGAGCTCATTATAGGCTGCAGTTCACGATTATATACCAAGATATTAGGAAATGGAAAACGACATGTTATTCATGTTAAAAAAAAGGCATGCATTAACTTGGGCCTTTGAAGTCTCAAATAAAAATATTCTTGGGTCAGGTGCTCTTTTGAAGTGGCACACTGCAGCTGAAGGTAATGTTTTTTTTTCTTAAAGAAGGGTGATTCACTGCACTTTTGGACATGCAATGTGAGAATAATCTTGGATGCTCTGTAGCAGGCCAGGAGTCACATGATACAAAACATGAGATAAGCACAAGGAACAAGGGGCGTAACAATAAAAATCATTTCTATAGTAAAGTTCTTTGGATCAAAAACACACACAGCGGAATAGATTTCCAGGATACCTGCCAGTGAAAAACTGTCTGCAACAGCCAAACCAGAAGCAAATCCAACACTTGATGGAATAATTTTTGGTCTCATGACAGCTTGGGGTGGATCCACTATGTTTTTATTAGCAATCCCAAACAACAAAGGGTCAGGACTGCAAAGCTTTTGTGTCTGGACTGTTCTAATGGGATTCTCAAAAACACCCACAAGGTCTTATTTGCATTGTAGCAAAATCCCTGTACTCTGATTAACCCCCAGGGTGCTAAAAAGCTGCAGTGTTGTCTACATTTGGCATTGCAAATGTAATAAAATTAACTTGTGTTTTCTTGGAGGTTATATCTGTGCGACACACAAACAAAACCTTTAGCTCAATCCTTGTAAAAGTTGTGCGCCAACACACCAAAGGTTTTCAAAGTAATTCCCTTCTATTTATAAAGTGTACCTCTTGCTTTACTCACAGACATGATTTACAGTACTTCAGTTTTTAACTTTTTCATAATGTCAGCTGCAGGTTCAAATGAACAATCTGTTCAAATTAACTGTTTTTATTATAGTCATTGTAAGATGAGCTGTACACACTCCAAACATTTTTTTATTGAATTCTGACATCTTTTTGGCATACAATGGACTTCCATTCGGTTATACACACTTGTTTAAACAAAGATCTAGTGAAATTAAAAGTACCTTTATCAGCCCTAAAATAAAAGACAAATTACTGTCATCTTTGACATAGGAAAAGATGCGCCTTAGACACTTACTTTTGTATGATGGATTTCCTGATAACAAGATCCTCATCCAAATCTGCCTCATTGGCCATAAAGAGCAGTCTTTGTCCTGAGCTGTCAACCCCAACAAAATCCCTCTGTTCCCCTAAAAGAAAATTCAGTTCAATTTACATTTCACGTGGCAGGAAACAGCAGAGTAAAAATCAAATTATTTTTAAACATTAATGCAACACGTTTCTTACAAGCATTTTTTTAAATAGTAGTGAAATCTGGGGTAGCATGTAGTGTCCACTCAGGATAAGAAAGAAATTGCGAACTTGAGCTCCGACATGAACATCTTCATGATTCTAAAGCCATTTAGTAAAATTAACAAAGTTATGTTTAACTTCTTTGGATCTTAAAATTAAATATTAAATATAAATATTAAATATTGATTAAATATATAACTATATAACAATTATCCCCAATGTCCTTATTATCTACACTTATCCCCTAGTTCGGAGCTGTTGTGGTTTGAAGAACAGGCAAGTAAACACTCTGAAGTACAAACTTATTTTCTAATCTTGAAAGTAAGCACATTTTAAGGGCAGGACAACAAGTACAAGTGGGTATTCACATTTGCAGGCTGTGAAAATAAAAAAAAGATCCACACAAAATATTACCTGTATTTTTCTTTCCTTTCTGTCCAGGAACAGTTTCTGTGAATTCATGTGCTTTACTCATCAGCATCGACAGTGTGGCATCATGGGCTCGGAATAAGTCAACTACTTCATGCAAGGCGGCATCAGTGATCAAGTCACAGCTCACAACTAAAATATCTGTCTGCAGACAAATGGAGAACAAAAGATCATTAACACCTTAAATTCCACAGCATGAAAAAAACAAATGTATTTGATATTTTTCTGCCTATTCTAAGAACTTTGACATTAATTTTGCACAAAGTACATACTTTTGCATGAAACTAAAAAAAAAACTAAAATTATCAAAACCTCATATCCCTGCACCCAGTAAAAAAGCTGTTATTCAAGATGGCACTTCATTATAGATTTTTTTTTTTACAAACGTAGATGGTCTGTCATTTGTAAAGAACTTTTCATGAAAAGGTTGAACCCAGATAAATTCTCAATGTTCATCATTCAACACCCAACATAAGTTCTGTTAGACAAGCTTTTTCAGTACTCAATTGTGCAACCCTGCCACCATGTCAGCTGATTTGAATCTATGTGGTTTATACCTGTGTGGATACTTCAAAGATCAAACTTTCCAAGCTAGTCTTGGCAAAAATGAGGATTTAAAGGTAGCAGCTGGGTAAAAGGATTATTCAGTTTTAAACGACATACTTCAGAATGTACCACAGCATTTGACTCTTTACTCAGATTTACATGACATACATTTAACGTTTTGAAATAAACTAAAATGTTATGATGTAACTAATTAAAATATTACAACCATGTGGAATGGGGAGATAAATTTAAAAATAATTCAGCACCATCTATCTCCCTTGTTTTTTTAAGAACCAGGAATTTCCTCAAAGTAGCTAGTTTTGTCAACTTATTTCATTATGAATAAACAATCAGATGCTGACGGACAATTCGATATAAAACAATGCACACACAATTCACACATTTAGCCCAACATCTGACTTGCCTGTAGCACTCCTGCACACTAATACACAAATGAAGCCGCACATTCATGACCATTAAACCAACTTTAAAAGATGAGCATATTAAATATTACATTGCAATGTTAGATTTTGAATCAGGGGCTTAAGCGCATTTTACTTAACAGCTTAACAGAAACAGACACAAAGAAGATGTTTCAGGGAAAAAAGCGGCATGATGAATTTGTTTCTTGCTTAAACGGGTCAGAAACTGGCAAAGACACAGGCGCTCCATGAACTATAAGGGAATAACAGCAATAAATTACGGTGCATTTACCATTGTTTCTGTTTTAAATGTCTGGTTACCATCTGCTCTGCCCATCTAGCCCCAATGAATAAATAAACATCACAGTGGAGTAGTGGGGCCCATTAAAAAAAGCCTCGCTCTGTAAAGACTCGCTGGGGAGGCCTGGGGAGAGATGAAGCTAAGACACTCAGTTCACGTTCTGAAGGCTCTGCTTATAAACGCATACTAAGAAAAGGGGATTAAAGCAATTGTTGTGACTTTGTGAGCTTTTCCCTTATTTGCAAGTTGTTAGTCTGCAGGTACAAACCACAGATGGATGGTTTCCATGTCTTGGTTTGCCACTGATAGATGTCCAATAACTGAATTCCAAAAGCAAGCACGATAGCATGATTGCAAATACTGCTGTGCTTTAAAGAACAAAGGAAAAATTCTGTATGAACATCTCTGTATCTTTAAAACAGATCTAAACAAAACATATAAGGCACACTTGCATAATGGATACAGAAATGAGCAGTTCCTGGGAAATGACAAGGACAGTTGGGTATCATCCAACACTGATACAGAATCATAAAAACTCAAGTTTGTATTCTGATTCAAAATGGAGATTTTGATTATGTGGGGATAGAGGAGGAATGAGAAGATTCTAAAATGGTAAGTTCATTTCAAGTGAAACTACTTAAACAATTACCATAGCTGTTAAGGATAATCTGCATACAGCTCGTGTCTTTAGGGGGGACAAAATACCATGCTGGTTTAGAAAGCTAATCTCCATTCATTCACATAAGGCAGCTAAATGCACAAACTTTTTGAAGAAAATATACAGAAATGGCCCTGCTTATTTATAGGACCTTTAAAGTAGTTTTCCCAAGCCGTCTCTAAATATTATACAGGTTTAAAAAAAGCCCACCCACAGACAGATAGTTGCTGCCCCCGTGCAGCCAGGTGAGACCACCCTGTGAGAGTTCAGCATCTATCGGAGACACTAAGAGAGGAATGCATGCATTCACACCCATTACAACTCTGCCATCCCAGTATGATAGCCATCCAGAGTATCACTGCAACACTTGAAGGCTTCTCGTTGGAGCAGGGGATATTGAATAACTGCACACTGCATTTTATTGGCGAATCCACTTTCATTTATTCAAGAAAATGTTGTCAGGGAATATTAAAATCAAAACTCAATTAGAAAAATTACCAAATGGCCAAACACAGACAGCTACAATCTTTGTAAAGTTCACTAAATTCTAATACATTTGGATATTAGTGTTTTCTCACCAAACATAATTTTTCAGTATGAAACAGCCTTCCTATATTTTTTGTTCTCAAGTCTAACAACCTTCAGAAAACAGCTTGGGATTAAATGAATTTGTAATGCACTGTCCCTTACAGAAGAAAAACTGAAATTTACATATTTTAAAACTGAAGAAGTAAAACTATTTGATCCATCTATTCAATGAGTTAAGTGTCCAATAAAAGACTGCAAACTGCTTTAGAAATCTAGTGGTAAGAACTACAGTAATGAGCCACACGGAAAAGGAATTATTGTCCTTATTACACATGGAGCTCTAATCGCCATTAGTGAATTCTATAAATTGTACAGTCAATGCCATTATAAATATTTAACACTGGGCATAGTTACTGTACATCTCATCATTAAAGTGAATTAAACATACCTAGCAATCCGGCATTAAAAGGCATAGCTTATCACAAGTTATTCCCTTAATCAAATACCTTTTATTACTAGTGATCATTCGAAGCAATAATCACCTTGAAATTATACACCTCGCAGCCTTTGTTGAAATGAAATGTGATTTTTACCAACACAAATCACAGAATTAAAAACGCACAGAATAACCCAATATTGCTTAATTCCCAAATCTACTGACTTTTGACAGAATAAAATAGGCAATTCTAAGATGTGGGAGGATCCAAGATGGGGTGATCTAGTATGTCATTCTCCTTAAACACATGTGTTCCAGGCCTGGCCAACTTCAGTATGGATTCTGTGACCCACTTGTTGGACAGCGCAGAACGTTCTGACATCATATGTTTGGAGAGCAGGAGAAGGAGCCGAGTTTTCAACAGGTGAAATGAGCCGATTCATTTAGCCAGCCAGCCAGCAATGCACGGATCAGTGATCTCTCAGCAGCACACAGGATCTGCTTTTTCAATAGCCCTGCTGACCTCAGTATTTCCATACGGAGGCCAGGTTAAACCTAGGGCACCCCATTTCTATGGGCTCATTCAGGGCTCCCCGTGTACAAATGCTCTGAACACAGCCAATGTGTAAAGCTGCAAGTAAAACCGTGCTGACCATGACTGCTACTTGCTTGTGAGCTTTACAGATCGCCTTCCTTTTCGCCCTTGTACCTAGCACGGATTTTATAGATCCAAATGTCAATGTCACAAATTATTGAAACATATGGGGCGGGCTCAAGCTGAGGTCTGAAATGATTAGACTGTGTCCCACTTTAAATCCAATGCTATATTTCTTTTAAGACTTTTTTTTTATAGCCCACAATTTTACAGGCCAGTGCCTCATTCCTTGAAGCCTGTCAGAACATGGATCATACGTGTTTGATCCTAATACAATGATGCATTATAGAGGAGTAAAGAACTATGATTGCAAAAATGTTTGTGTGACAGGCAGTTCTTGTTTTTGAAATTTTCACTTGTGGCAAATGTCAAATTCTTCCCCAGCAGGGAACACAGTGTGTTGTTGTGGCCTGATGTTTACCTGTCTTGAGGCAGTTCTCACCCAAAATGACTTTTATGACAGAGCCAGTAAATAAGATCGACAAATGGCCTTACATGGGAATAAATATATTAACTACACAGATATGAAATTCCTCACCTTGACCTTCTGATGAATATAGCGCAGGGCGTCGGCTGTACCCATATCTGCTTCCTCCTGAATACACACAACATCCAGCTTCATCCTGGTCTCAGAGCTCAGGCACTTCTGAACCTCCTTCGTTGTGATGACAATGACCTCTGTTGTGGGGAAGAATGAAAGCATGCGAACAGTGCTTCAGTCCTGTTTGATGATATACTTTGTACGTTTCTACAGATTTTATCCCGAGATTCCTGAAAGCATTTGTAAGAATTTGTTTTGAGGAGTAAAGAGACAAGAGAAAAGCAGAAATTATATTTCATAGCAAATGTGTGTACAAGTCAACAACGACATTTCAATCCCAGATCTGTTCTTTTTAACTGCAGAAAGAGTTGCGGGGGGATTGTAGGTTACAATTCAGGGTGAAGCTGAAAACTAAGATGACAAAATGTGGGCAACTGCCTGGGGATTGTTACACAGAAGGTTATTCCACAATAGATATGCTGCAGACAGAAAAAGATCTGCTGCAGACATACCTGTAGAAAGTTTAAAAAGGCCTTTGTGCATGAATTAATAGAGGGGTCATCCTATGAATTAAATATGACATTACTTGGGTTTGACATTAAAGAAATACCATTATTTGAAGATTCTGATCAAAATAAACTAATAACCATGTCGGACCACATTAAAGAGCAAATGAAAAAGGGCCATATTCACTCAACGGTTCCTACTTTTGTACCAACAAAATTCTATTGTTCACTGAACTATGACTTGTTTCAGAAACAAATGACTGCAGTGACCTCAGCAGCTACAGGTGAGAAACACATCTAGAACAGTACATCAAGGTGGAATTGTTACATCATAGACTCTTCTTGAAAAATCAACCGACGCGTTTTCACCAGACTATACAAGTTGAACTCACTAACCGCAGTCTCACAGCATCATCACAGTAAAGAAAAAAATGACATTGAACAGACCATTTACATTACGTAGTTGTTAGTAGCAAAAACAGCGTTCCCAGGGATTTCAAGATGAATATGAAACGTAACACTTTGGACAGAAAGGGGCATCCCTTTCGAGTTGAGCTGCACTGTGGGAGACCTCGGGAGACAGGTCTTCCATACTGCCTAAACACATAAATATCTTTATGATTAATCTCCCAATATTCCCTGATTTATAAGCCACCCAAGATGATTTGATCAGAACTGGGTCTCAGTGCAGATGGAGCCTGCTTAAAGTTGTCTAATGGTATCTCAATACAACCTGATTTACAGCACCCTTGTCTCACTGCCTTGTTCCGGATGTCTGCCAGCCAGCTCAGAGGCAGAAACCAAAGAATGAAAACAAATGCTGTTAACTGTTCATATGCAAGTAAAAATAGACTGTATAGGTCCTTACAATGCATTTGGAAAATGTAAGACTGTTATTAATCTTGTCTACAATGCTGTGCAGTGTTGGCAACATTCAAAATCCCTGATGTGTTAAATATAACTTGCCAGTAAGTACAGCAGTTCAACATAACTCTAAAGCATTGTTTTAACCATGTCGGTGTTAGAATTTTCACTTGGCCGCCACAGAGCATCTTTCATTTGAATCTATACAGAACTATGCAATTTATATCTTTACAGATGTGTTTAAATAGAGAAATGTGAGTGAAGTACCCAGTTTAAGAGTAGTAGAAAGCCCTTCCCTTTACTACAAATAGCTATCTTTTCAGTGATTAAACTATCATTAAACAAACTTATTACTAAACTAAAACTCTTCTACAATTTCTCTTCAACATTCAAAAGCTTTCATTTGCATAATATAGATGACTTAGTTTACATGATCATTTATCATAAAACAACCTCAGAAACTGAACTCCCACCTGAGATGTAGGGAAATACTGGTGACCAGCCTTTTAATTGCTTTGCTCTGTTTAGCACTGGCCAAGTTAGAACTGATCAAAATGAAACCACCAAAGCATGCCTGTATCCTTCTGCTTGCATAAAGAACTTCCTTGACGATAACAGTATCTAGGCTTGTTATTTTGGTAGATTTTATTTTCTACGATTTACGATACGATACGATTTACACAACGTAAAAAAAAAGAAACATCTGACTGGAAGCAAAGATTAACAAGTAACCTCCTGATCTGCTGTAACAAGTTACATGTCAGTTATTATTCCATTTTGTATCAAACATGTTTACATTTTTAGTATTAAGCACTAAATCAGTTCCTGCATAAAAATGTATTCATGCTTAACCTGCACAAAATCTAATTACATTTTGCACGCTGGCATACCAAGGCATGTTATCTTCCATTGGAAACAACTTTAAAAAGTACAAACTTGTCAGTTACAAAATAATCTGCATTTCCTTCAAATTCTTATGAGTAAATGTTTTTTTCACAACAAGACACTGGCTTAAAAATCACATTCAGCTGCAAGTGCATCAATTCATCCTCAAATTACATCTCATACACCACACTTTTCATTTACACATAAATGCTTTAATTTTAATATGGGTGCAGGTTGTAATCCTGGAATTCCTGTAGCAAGCCTACAACAGAGAGCTACAGCTAATCTGGCCCTGCAGCTAAAACTATTTTAATCACTATATTGTGAGGACCCCCCCCCAAAAAAAAACAACAACAACAACAACAACAACAACAACAACAACAACTAAATTTTAAATAAAACTAAAAAAAGTTAAAGAAGTGTGGTCTGTAATATATCATTTGAAATGTGTTCATATGCTTTATAAGGTTATTGGGCCTTTGCAATTTAATAAGTTAACTAGTGATAATTCATTGTTATGCTGTTGAGGTCATTTAAGTTTACACACACCATTTTTTTTTAAAGTAAATTCTAAATGGAAAGAAGGCCAGGGAAAATGAGAATTTCTGGCCCCAACTGAAACCTTAAACCTATTTCTGTTTTGATTGGAAGCTCAACAGTGAAGCTCTGACAGCCTCTTTACCTTCGAATCCAACTCTCTCCAGCAGGTTCAGCGGGTACCAGATGAGTGGCTTGTTCCCCACGGGCAGGAGAGGTTTGGGAATACTGTAGGTCAGGTCCATCATCCGGGAGCCACCGCCTGCGGCCATTAACACAGCCTGCAACTCCATCCCGCTCACCTGCAGCCAGACAACACAACAACACAACAACCGTCTCAGTCACTCCCTGCCTCTCATCCACAGTCTCAAAGACTTTTATTTCTTAAATTTGCTGTGACGACTCCATTTGGTGCTTGATTATTTATAGGCAGGCTATGCTTTCCATTGCTTTTTTTTGTCCTATTAATTATTATTTCCTATTGCATCTTGCATGGATATAAATCTCAAAGGGGTGTATGTAATACCAATGGGTTTGTGGGTCACTATTCATTTACTATTAAAAAAACTGAAACCGAGTAGAGGTCAATAAAATAAAAGTATATGTTGGATATTCCAAATGCATGTTTACTGTTATATGCAAACTAATAACGTTATTATTAGGCATAAAATGTATTGGGAAGAAACTGAAACAGCTGAAGCAAATCTATAGTAGGAGTGTTTACATGAAAACAGTGTTATTAATAAAATAAGGCTTCACGTCCACTACACGCCCATCCGGACAATTCAGAAGGTTGCAAAAAAAAAACATTTTTAAGAAGTAATTCATTCAGAGTGCCGTTACTCTTTTAAATTCTTATATATATATAGCCTCCACAGCATTGCACTGATAGCATATATACTGTATGTGTGCAGCTCACATCTGAACCTTGTTTTTTTACTGTATTGTAAATATATTTATATTACATTAACTGGATACTTCTGTAAAATCCACTGAATGTTTTGTATAGTCTATATATATATGTTGTCTAAATGAGACCAAAGGAAAGTCTCCACTGTACGTGGACAATAAAGTAAATTCTGAAGAAGCACAGACAGTATGCAATGGTTTTCTGCGTTTGCTTCGCTATTACGCCTAATTTAAACAATTTGCGGTTTATTAGAATAAATCACTTCTTTTGACGGGAAATGCTAAAGACAACGTTTTAGTTTTATTTCAAAATAAGGACTTGTGGCAGCTCACTGTTTAAGAAGGGAGCTTCTCTCCTGACGACACTGACCTCCACGTGTAACATGTTCTTCATTTGCAACACCTTTAAACACACCAGTAAACTTGTATATTTTTCATCAGGAAATATAATACTAAAAATAGAGGTAAACGCAGTTTAATTTAAACAGCAAAAAACAAGCGATGTTGTAAGTGTCTCTGGTTCTTTTTATTAAATTACCTAGTCAACCATTAACTGCCAACACGTTCTGGTTAACGTGATTGATGTAATCTTTACGCCTCACCCTTTTTGCGTGCAATTCATAGCTGGCCTCGGATAAAGATGAGATGGATTCTCTAAACAGGACTTACCTTCGTTAATGTTTTATAACGATAAACTGGTGAAGAAAATAATTTAGAAACCAATCTCACAAGTCGCCAACACCTCCTCTTCTGCGGTTAATAGCACACTAAAGACCCTGCAACGCCGGCAAGCCGCCGCTTAGATTTCAGATGCAGCGATCTGCTTATTCTGAACCTCACACCGTTTACTCTGACATCCAAAACGAATAAATGACAATAGATTTTAATTTCTCTGCGAGCAAAAGAAAAGCAATGTTTTGTAAAATGAGACCTGCCATACAATATGTTGTTGGGTTCCGTTCCTCTAAGTCATCCCGAGCGAAACAAACAACGACAAGTTTATGGTTCCTAGCAGATGATGCAATATGCTATCAAAAGTATGAAATGTATATTAGCAGAATAATCAGAATCAGAATAATTACTTTTCCAAAGTGAAAAACATCAAGTGTTAGTGAATTTGTATGTAAATAATAAGAACTATTTTCATAATGTATTTTAACTTTTTTTTTTTTACGATTCATTGTGGAACATACTGTATATTGTGGAAGAATCCACCAGAAATTATAGCAAACAATATTTAATATTTAGCAATTAACACATGAACCTGAAGATGGTATAATGTAGTACTAAATTATGTGTTTTTATAAGCATAATTTGAAAATCAATATCTGTGTATTTATGATTTCTAACAACGCTCGTTTTGCTTGAAATAGTTTTTCTATAGGCTTTCCATCATAAATACCTACACAAGATGTAAAAATATTTTTGAATACTTTAAACCTACAATTCAGTTGTTCTTTTTCCTTGTTTAGTTTCACAGATTAGTGTCTGTATTGCACCACAGAACAATACTGTGTGTCACAACAGGAGAGAAAAGATAATTGGAGTCATCTGGAACTGGAGTTATCAAATAGAAGTAATTCATTGCTTTTTAAAAATATTTTTATTTTAGTAGCTAGAACATTTAGACAGCTGTGATTTAGAAGACAGACAAGCTGTGGGAGGTTTTGCTTGTGTTCTGTAGCTTCTGGCAGGAGGCAAGCCTGATCTTTAGGGTTCAGGGGCAATGCACGACAACTTGACAATTTTTGGAAGCAAAAAAAAATCTATTTTCTTGGAGCCAGTGGTTTCTAGCGTGTCCTGAACTTTAAATGGGTTCCTGAGGGTGCACATAACCAACCACGCACCTCCCTGGTTGAGAGACACATCTCAAACCCCAATCCACAGGCCTCCGTTGTAACAGCAAATTGAACTCTGGGAATGCAGCTCAGCTTTGTTTTTTCTGGAAAGGAGATGAGCTTCGTTGGTAGCAGCCTGGAGAGGAAACAGTGGAAAAACAGGGCCGTCTGAACCTTGCCACTATAAAAAGAAAAAAGGAAATAAAGAAAAGAAAGAGAAGCAGGCACATACGTGACTGTAAACATTTAGACATTTTATGTAGACGTCACTATGGTTGTCTACATATTTTCATTTATAATGTGTAAACCTAGGCAATCTTTAGTAAAACAAACCTCCAGTATCTTTTCAGGCAGAACGATGTCCCTCTTTCAAAGAATCAAGTGTGTTCTTTGCAGAAGAATCTGGACCATCGCATAGACCACCATGGTTGCCAGCATTCAAAGACATCTAAAATTCATCCATTTAGGGTAACATTTAATTAAATGCTTTCTTTGCCTTGGATTGTTTCCTTAGTTACTGTTTTTTTTTTCTTCAAATGGGTCCTTAGTGAATACCCATAAACATAAGAAAAAAAATTAAAAATAAATTATAAAATGCATTGCAAGAAAAGGACGGCACTATGGCACAATGGTAAGCATTGCTGCGCTCTGTGCTGGAGCTCACGGGAGAGTGTCAGACCTGTAATGCTATTCGCTTGGAGTTTGTATGTTCTCCCCATATTTGATTGAGTTTCCTCCAGGTGCTCCACTTTTCTCCCACAGTCCAAAGATAAACTGGTAGGTTAATTGACTTCTGGGAAAACCGGTCCTGGTGTGAGTGTGTGAGTGTCTGTGTCTGTGTCTGTGTCTGTATGTGTCCTTTGATGGACTGGAGTCCCATCCAGAACGTTTCCTGCCTTGTGCCTGTGTCTTGTCAAGTTAGGCTCCGGCTCCCCTCTGATACTAAATTGGATGAACTGGTTAGAAAATGTCTGGCTGGACAAAAGTATACTGTTCCAAAATACAAATATGTATTTTGTAAGAAAAATAAAGTATATGGATTTAAAAATAATGATTACACATTTGGGGCATTGTTTTGAGCAATGATCACTCATGACTGACTGTAATAAACCTGAATTAAGCACTGATTCACCTGATTAATGAGAAAGTTCATTGGGCATGGGCGATGAGGGGATTTTGAATGTCAAGCCTGGTACAAAAATCAAGAAAAACACAGAAAGGAATCAGCCTGCCCCAATTATCACAGAACACTTTCATGCAATAACTCCAACAGTGGATCTACCAGAATCCAGCAATGAGAATTTCTATTAGGCCACACTGATTGAGATCAGCAAGTGTGGTCCAGACATGCAGAATGCTAGTAGCTGTGTACAGCAAACCAATCAATGGACAGGTCCAAGTGTGATGGTCGGGGCAAGAGTGCACTTATATAATACCAGTTGTAGTGATTGAAGGCAGCCTGACTGCAGGCACCAATTGATCACGTTCCTCGACATCTCTTTTTGCCTTTCCTGCAGGCTCGTCGTGACATGTGAACAGCTAAACAATGGATGTCCTCATGCATGTCTTGCTTTCTTGCAAGATGAGAATAGGGTCCAGAGATCAGTGAACAGGCACATTCCTGTCCAGCCTCTTTGGGGGCAATGGGACAGAATCCTGGTGCAAAGCATGTGTTCAACTAATACTGCTTCTAATGCTGACCACCAATGATATTAGCATGTGACTTTCACAGTAGAATTCCTGTTGATGATCAACCCTGTTGGTGACACATGTTAATTAGTATAATGAATTTCCCGAGATCATTTCAGTTAAAAAATATCAGTGTGTGTTCTACAAAAGATTCACTAATTGTCCAATAAAAGCATTGTGAATTTGATGCATTTAAGTCATACCTTTGTTTTGATGATTGGTGTATTTTTCAGTATTGAGTTGTTATTATGATTAAAGCACGTTACAATGCTTTTTGTGATAGGCTCAGAAGATACTGACATATTGCTTTGATCTGTGGGAGACAACTGAGGAATTAGGCTTTGTAGAGTTTGGTAATCACATGGCCTAAAAATCAATAAAAATATAAATCTGTCATCACAAAAAACATTACCAGACAACAGACAACATTGACATTTACTTTACTTCAACTCATTAGTCTTTAAAGAGAACTGCCTGCAATGGAGAATGAAAACACCTTTTCTTTTTGCTCATTCTCATCCTTGTTCAGATTAGTTTTAGTTTTTATGCACACAAGTGAATTATTTAATGTTTTTTTGTGGAAATATAAAGGTATTGTCAATGTATGCAAACATTGGATACGATGGGTTTTGTAGTGTTTAAGCTTAGGAAGAAAAGGAGAAAGCTATTAAAAATTGAAATACAGTAGAATATGGAGAAAAGGTTCATAGGATTGAAAGGAACAAGGATTCTCCTGAAGAAACGGACTCACAAACAACTTTGCTGATAATTGGCGAGTTGGTGCAAGTGGCTGGGTGTAATAGATGACAAAAAACTGGGCTTCCAGTTTCATCACAAGTACAACAATTCCAAATAATTACAGAGAGCACCACACATGATGTAGAACTGTTGTTACTAATGAGAACATTCCATTCTAAGAGAACAGAGTGCACACATCAAAGAACAAGACCATAAGCTGCACTTCTATTCATAAGGACTGGGAAACCAAATTTGCGTGAGCCAGCATGATTGTGTGTTAAATGCTAATGTATTTTTTTTTTCCTATGGCAGACTGGCGGCATTTTAGTTACTAGCTCCTAGGTGGCATCATCCTGAGCAAAAACAAATCTCCTGGCTGAGCCCAGGACTGCCATAAAAGTCAATTAATGTCATTGTTGCTCTATAAAAGACTATTCCTGAGCTTTAACAATCTGTGAGTAAGACATTCCACAAAACAGGTTCAAACGACAAGAATAAACATGCTGTTTTAATGATGCACTGGGTTACAAACATACAGTAGTTTGGTCTACAAGGCATATGTGGTTGATTGGTGATGTGAATTTAAGCAGTAGTGCTGAGAAACTGCATTTAAAAAGGTAAATCTCTTTTCTTACAAGAAAGAACATAATACAATGATTGAAGAATATCTTGCTGTTTTTTAAAGAGTTTACGTAAAACAAAAAAGTTGAAGGCTTCAAGAAATTCAGGTATTAAGTGTTGATTTCTAAGTGTTGAAACTCTACTATTCCACAATTTGTAGTAGTTCTGAAAGGTATGAGAAGCATAGCACTTCAAACCCCAAAGGAACAAGTAGAGGTTAATTCCATCGTGAAAACTACACATTTTGCCAAACATTTTCTTTATTCTTTCTACTTTTCACTACGGAATTAGCCTCTACTAGTTCCTTTACAGCCCACACACTGACGTAGGTCTGCAAAACAATTTTAATACAGCAATATTGTATGAGGCTGCACTCTGGGAAAACCGTTAAATTTCAGATACATATATATTTTCTAACGTTATTCATGATGGGGTAAGGTCCTGCAAATAGGAACAGGTTTTCTTTTAGAAGTGGTAAAAACCTGGAAATGTGATTTTGTTCCACTGTAGGGGGCAATGTGTCTGGTGTACTACAGTTACATCTATTCAAATACAGGTGCAAGACTTCACATCCCATTGCAAATACCCTGAGCCCTGGATTCAGATTCAGCAGGCGCAATAGTTTGGCATCTGCACCCCTGTTATGTCAAGCAACAACAGGCTGTCTGAGGAATAAAGAAACACCAGCACCATAATGAAAGCAAGAGAGATAGAAAAAAAAAAGACCTTGCTCCATAAAGCTGCTTCAGACTTGAAGCTCTGCCTTGATTTCCTCTGATTTCCTATTCCTGGCTGCTGCAGCTCTTGTAAATCATTCTCAATTCCCTTAAACAAGCCAGTTGGATTAGCTTGGCTTAGATCATAAACATTCACCGGCCAGACCACCCAGGGAGCGAGCCCCAGGCCCCGACCGCCGCCTCCCTCATAGACTGAGCGCGGCCAGAGCACAACATGCACAGTGTGGTTTGTGTTTGCAGCACGCTGAGGAGCGACGCACATCTCCAGCTGCCCCACACGTCCCGTCTGCTGTGGAAAAGAAAACACCTTGGTTCATGGTCAAATGTAGTCAGACTGCAGCAGTGAGCTGGATAAAAGCACTTCTAACATTTGCCTTGTATTATATGTACTGTACATCCTAAAAACAGAGAAAATCAGTTTAGGTACTCCTGCGGGCAATACATCGGAAAAAGAGCTTGCGATGGTATTGGAGAAATGAATTGCTCAATATGAGGTTGAGGAGCCATTTCACAATCTTTATATAGACAGAAAATGCAGACTATTCACTATTGGTGGTCTCCCATTAGGTCAGCAGTGTGCTTAGTATGTGAGCTAGGTTTAGTCTTCATTTTTTCTGAATGAAAAGAAACACATCTTTTAATGCCACAGACAAATTGGATCACCTCTTCACTGTACACTTTGCTGGATGGGGCTTCGCTTGTATGGGATCGTTACCTTCAAGTTCTCATCCCTCACTCTCAGCTGTCAGTTGAGCTCCTCTGCAGAGTTTCAGTGTATGAAACAAGACATTTTCATTTAAGCATAATTGCTTCCCAAGACAGTTGTGTGAGTTCTTTGCACATATACAAAACTGAACGTTGTATAATGCCACAGCTTAGTAACGGCAGGAGGTATAAGCTACATGTCAAAATCAAATGCTGTTTTTTGTACAGTACTTGCCTTCTGTATGCTAGCTTGTCAAAAGACGTCTGACAGCATCTCATTCCTATTATCCGCAATGGCTTCTAGATCTAATGTGCCTTTTATACTACTACTCTTTGTACCACTTTCACACTACAGTATATTTAGAAATGAGAAATGAATGGACAGCATTTCAGCTAAATACATGGGCTCTGAACCTCACCAATGACCGAAACGGTTCTTATTCTCCATGTAAGGCCCTTTGAGATTCTTGTGGATGAGAATGCCTGTAATTATTATTACATTTCATATTCGGTTTTCTTTCACATACGCATATGTTTACTTTGAAACAAAAGTTCAAATGGAGAAGAGATTTCATCCCTTTAATTTCTACACATTACTCTTACTAAGAGTCTTAGGAGGAGTACTGTTGCAGATGCACGTGCTCTAGTTTATCATGTGGTTTAATTCATCTCTTTATTTAGTTTTATGTTGGTAAAGCAAAGAAGCCTCCAACATCTAGTATCACCCCAGCCTCTGAATGTGTCACATTTCCTTTTTGTCGTGGCTTGTGTTATACCCAGCATGCATACAGTACCAAGAATTAAGGTCTTGCAGTCATAAATCCATGACTGTTTTGGAGGACAGTTTTTTGTTATCTTTAGGACAATTATGTGTGAGGAATCACATAATTATACAGAATAATTGTTGGAGGGGCAATGGAACCAATGAGTGTAGAAATTGCTTGTTTTTTCCTGTTCAGCAGCTACATTATAACATTACTATTATTGCTCCATTTGTTAGGAAAACTAACTATGCTATTAAAAAAGACATCATGACTTCTTTTTTTAAATTGTGGTTTCTTACACCACTTTGATTAACGCATTTCCCTTCTATCAATTTTAGTTAGCAACAGATCCATAACACCATGTTCACAATTGTTGGAATAATAATAAAATCATGTGTAGCAAAGAAGCATTTTGTTTTATACCAAAATGCGTCCAGAATAGTATGAAACCTGCATCCTGAGAAACTAACAATAGTATTTGACTTTTTATTTATAATTTTGTGCATATTAACATTTAACAGAGATGTGAACTTTTTTGGTATTTTAAATGTTTCGCAAATGACCTACAGTACAACGATAACAGCTTACTTTGTTAACTGAAGGCCATTCTCTTTTTTTAACTAAAAAATATAGCTCTATCAGAATAGGACGGAGATGAGTGGCACAGGCAGTCAAATAAACCTCTCTTGGTAGTTTCACCCTTCTAGGTCAGAGTGCAAAATCTGAACAAGAGAATCTGTGAATGTTCTCTTTTTTATTGGGACATGATCCTGCCTACTGTGAATCATAAGACCCACCGGACACTCCCTATTGCCTATTCCCTTTTCTTATGTGAGCCGAGAACAATCCTCCAAGCCAGCAGAGCTCGAAAAAGGATGTCCCCAAGAGGAAACAAGCTATTCCACACTTTAGTTCATTCTTTAGGTCTTATGGTCTTTAGTTCAGAGTCACCAAAGAGGAAAGACCTAAGCAAATTGTAGTAATTTTGAGGCTAATACTTCTCTATTGCATCTGGAAAGCATATAAGAGACAGTATGGCACTGAGAACTGAAGAAGAAAAGCTATGAAGAGTGTAGCCGACAGTCACCGAGCAAAACCTTCTGTTCAGCACCACAGCCAGAGAACTCTAAGGCACACATTTATAAATCGGTTACTAACTTTATAACGCTGAGCAGATGTGTCTACTATGAGCATTAGGGACTGGACTGGCAGAGACTGACTCATCGGAGGATAACAGGTGGTGAAGGTTTTCCTAGGCTTTAGCTAAGATTAACAATAAATGTGTTCAATTTTTAGTAAATACACTAAGTAGCCTAAATTACATACATAAAACAATAGATAATGAAAAAAGTTTAAGCAATGTATCATTACAGGTATTAAAAATTCAACAAAACATTCTTTGTCTAGAAGCTTCACAACCCATGTTGTACTAAAAGTATGCATGGTATATGTATTTAGAGTTCTTATAGTTTGACTTCATTTCATCTGTTGAGCCAATTTTGTCGAGAATATTTCCTAATGAATACATATTTTTTTACCGCCTTTTGTGTTTTTGAAATCTTCAAAATGATTTATTGTGTAGAACAATAGCCATACATGTAATGCAAAGCATAATCTGATTATGAGAAGGCATGCAAAATAAAAATGCAAGAGAAAAAGAAGCACCTAGCACTTGTGAGGAATGGAACAGATGTTTTGAAAAGTTTGAACTGTACAAAGAAATGGGAAGAGTTGCTGCCACCACTAAATGTGTAATAAATGTGTAATTTTGGTGGCACAGACAGTGCTTTTGTGCCAGGTAAACGTGTGCATCAGACTTGTGAGTGTTTTACACTTTGCTTGGCTCTCTGCAAGCTTCTGTTGGTTAATAGTTCCCATAACTCTCTTGAGTGGCTTCAGTCCAGACTGTTTGTGGTCAGGCCAGATTGGCATAATAATGAACCAAGGGAGAATGGTCACAAGACAGGACCTGAATTTGGAAGCAACATTCTGTCCTCACACGACAGAAGACGATTGGAAAACCGGAGTTACAGTTTAACAATAGTCGTGTTGTTTTATCATATAATACTATTACTCAATATGGTTTAATTTACTATTTGTCTTTCATAAACTATTGCATGATGTTTTTGCCAATGGCCCTCCTACGAATGTGCAATTATTTCAAGAATCGGAGGAGATCACATTCTTCTAGATTAAATCTCCTAGGTTTTAGATGTACCTATGTGACTTAATCAAGACTTGATCACTCATCCTGCTGGTTATCTAAATAATGTCAAGTCTCTTTTGCTTGGCCACTGAGACAAAGAAGTGATGTGTTTGTTTTTGAATAATGAGCGACCCGTTAAACTGTTTTCCTGGCAGGCCCTACAGCATTGTGTTTGTCTGGCTCTTTGTGGACTCTGGCTGCCCTCAGGGAGTTTGCTACCTGCCAGCCAGCTGTGCTGTTCGTGGTGGTATCCCCACCTCCTGGCTGCCCCATAATGCTGAGGAGGGTCTGGTTGAACCCAGGAAGACAAGCTACAGTTGAATAAACAAGGGTCCGTGCGAAGACTCTCTGATCTTGGTGGGTGACTCTTTAGACAACATCCGCCAGCCCTTCTGTCTGTGAGGTCTCAAACAAAAAAGACCTAATTGCTCTCGATCCAACACTTTCGACGTCAGCGTTTAAAGTAATGTCCTGAAGCCACCTTTCTTTCACTGTAAGGTACACTGCAGAGCACTGTAGAGTCAATATGGGCTTTGTTAGCAGAGCAGGAATCCACAGTGTGAATCCTTTGGAAAACAGGTCCCCATTTCATAACTCATTTTTTTCAGTTTGCTTTTCTTTCTATGTACATTCATACATATGTCGTTGTCGATATTTCCTCTTTAGATTGAGTCACCTTTGTCTTTAAAAAAGAAAGAAGAAAACCTTCTGCTTCTGGGTCGGATCGAATGAATGGCCTTCTTTGTTTGTTTTTTAGCTGTCTGGAACTTCACTCCCAATAATTAGCTGGCATGTTATCGTTTGGGTTATCATGTTAGACTGTGACTTGTTTTTATTTTTATTTAGACCTATAATCTCACGTTTCCGAAAGAGATCGCCATGCAGGCTGACAAATTAGGCCTTGGGGACCTCAGACTGCCATTATGCAGGGTGTCCAATTTCCTGCCCATGCTTCTGTGGTCTTATGGGTGGCTTCCAGCTGGCCTGAAAAAAAAGTCACATCCTCATTACAGATGAAGGCAAATAAATTCTAAGCCTCTGGCCCAAGGGGGAAATATAAAAATGCTAAAAAGGGGACCTTAACAAGCTTTGATTTAATACTGGATGACCCAGAAAAGATTGGTTTGTGGATACTATGCCAAGCATAACTGACATAATGGATCTGTGGTCGCAGGGAAGGAACGGTTAGATATGAAGGTCTTTTATTGTGCTCTTGAGTGCAACCACTGCATTCCATCAAGAAGGCCTCAACAGACATCTGACTGGTTTGTTTTGGACATCTGAACCTGTGGTCTGGAGAATTTTATGATGATGCCTTGTGAGTACATGTCACAAGGTGATGTTTTTTTAATGAATGTCTGTTTCATTCAGGCAACTTCATGAGGCTGAAAGTCTCTACTCCCTTTTGTACATTACTGCTGGTGTTTGTTCAGCAGCTCATTAAGGTACAGTGAGGTAGTCACCAGCACCAACCCTAGTCAGCTTCTGGAGTGCTTACTGATAATGTTTAAATCAGTACAATATACTAGAAATATAGCATATAATGCTGACCTCAAATCCCATGTAACCAGGCAACACATCTTTAGTTCCATAGTTGATTTAAAGTCATTGTTAACAAAATATTTAGATATCTTCCATCCTTGCAAGATTGAATTCTATACAGCTCATGTACTTCTTTTAAGGTGACTTTTCCTACTTTTCTGAAAAACCTAAGCTGTTGTAAAAAGTAGACCAAACTTTTGTTTTGACATTAAATAATGTTTGTGAATTTGTTGAGAAACGTTGAGGGACACCAGCAAAAACTCCAGAAGGAGCCTGTGCAGAAAATAATAGGAGTGATACAAAAATTAGCCCCAGGCGTCGTTGTGTCAGGTCTGTATTCAGAGAGCTGGTCCCAGAGAGCTCTATTCAGCAAGATTCTGCCTCCGTTGGAAGTACAAGTCCTCTCTCTGCCTCACTGCTTCTACTTCCTACACACCCTGTGCACTCTTCCAGGCAGAAGCAGGAAAGGAGGCAGGCAGGTCTGTCTACTGTAGAACAGAAGGCTGAAAGCACCTATTGTTTGCACTCAGCCAAAACACTGTCTGTCAAGATGACAGGCAGCCTGAAACCCATCTCTTCACCCTTCACAGCTGTGAGCTCAAGGTAGTGGTGACTGAAGATCACACACACACATATATATATAGATAAGCAACCCTGTTTAACAGAAATAAAACGTTTACGGCATTGGAGGACAGCAGTGAAAACAACGAGTGTGTTCTAGATAAAGACACATTAAAACACCTTCGTCAGAAATGATTCAGACAAAATTTTATGAGAATTGCCCCTCAAGAATGGCTGAGGTATGGTCTATGGCTGTATTGTCAACAGAAGTGGGGACATTGATTACTGTCAGGGAGGTTTGAGCATAAAACCTACTATTTATTGTACATTGTGTAGTTTGTTAAGGTTGGGTGGCAGTGGGTTCTGTAAGCTTTACCTGTGAGAAGAGATTGAAGAGATTGCAGAGTGTTAGAAGGGTGAGGAAAACTAGGACTAGGCAAATCCATTATGTATTCTGTTCCATGTTTCAAGGAGTGTTAGGAATCAAAGCTAATTCACTCTCCACATGGGTAGCTTAAGGCTTCCCACATTTCTCTGCCTGATTAATTTCTGCTCACTACCAACTGCCTAAGTTTGATAAATATTCTGTGCCAACAGAATTCTAATAGTTCCATCTTGATAGCATCAATCAACAGGCCAGCAGCTGATTAATATTCATGAATGGAAGCTGGTAAATCATTAAACTGTGAGGAGCAGGTTTCATTTCATTTCAACAAGGCCTCTCTAATGGACCTGACAACACTACACACTTACATTAATCAACTTTCGAAATGCACGTCAGCAGCCCCATTCAAACCTGATAAGCAAGCATCATTTTTTAAAAAATCATGGGCAAAATCTTTTTTCTTCAAAAGGGATTCAGCTCTTTTCTTGAAGAAGGCAGTTTTTCGTAAATGTCCGCAATAGAAGGTAGTGGAAGAACAAAAATGTACTCATCTGAAAGAAAATGATGTGGTAATTATTCCCTCGGGCGAGCGAAATGAACTTGTTTGAAATTAAAGCCTATGAGAAGCTTGGAGAGTGCATTAAACAAAGGTAATAGCTGTCACAGATTAGGAGTTACATCTCCAGCTATCTTAATCAGGGGTTTAGTGAGAACATTACTCACCAGCTTGCGGGTAATTTGACGAGGAAGCTTAGAAAAATTCCTCATTTCCCCAAAGTGCTTGCCAGCCTCTCTGCACAGTCAGAAGTTGTCTGAGGTTTTGGCCATGCTCTGTGTGAGGTCCACCTAGGATGGGTGAGGAATTAAAGTTTGGCAGAACAAACATGGGCGGAACCACAGGAAAAACATCCTCATTCAAATCATACATTTAGCTTTATTTAAACAAGGTATGCGGGCAAACTACTTGAGCGAGCCTCCCAACCGGACTTCGTCATAATTAAAGACGGCTATAATCCACTTCAAATCTCTGGCCAGCGTCAGCATCTCTTTAGGAGAGAAAGGGATATTTGTCTTCAAAAGCTAGCTCCTAGGAGCCCCTTTATCAACCTGAAGCCTGAATTTGGTTAGCAAAGATAATATATGTTATATATTGCGAAAGACAACTTAATCATAGAGCAGATGGCTAGAAATAAATTGCCAGAAGAAATGGGAATCTAGGCAGTTCAAGGTTATCTAACACGTTAGTCAGTTCTAGAATAGTTTTCTTTTAAACAGGATGGAAAGCAGTGAAAGTCATCTCAGTCATTATCTGTTCTCTGTCAGTTTAATGATTCACCTTCCTACTTACAGTACATGGATAGAGGAAGAGAGCGATTATCCTAATGCTGATTTAAACCTGTTTCTTTGCAAGTCAGCCATTCAAACACTGACTCATTTGTTCACATCCAGAAATAATGTAACAATAGAAATGAGTAGTACCAGTATAAAGTGAACATGTTAATGCAAATTCCAATGAAAGTTGCAGGGAAAAAAAACACTTCTGTAGCAATAAAAACAAAAGCCTCAGATGTCATAACACATAAAGAAGTTTACTTGGTGAATGTCTTGAGGGCATTTCAGTTTCTTCAACTCTTTAATTCAAAACTAGAAACACATTGAAGTATTTCCTGGAAGTGTCATTTAAATGATCTCTATTGAATGTTAAACAGTGCTCAATCACTGTATTTGCAACTGGTACAGCACCACTGATTAAAATGTTTTAGTACTTGCACTACAAATCTTTGATAAATCCAATCTATTTTGAGAAGATGAATAACTACACTACCTTGATTTGCTGTAACTCCATTCTATATACACAAACTCACACAGAATGGTACTGATTAATGAATGAAATATCAATCACACTCTCACTACCCATATAATACATGAAAGAGGTATTGATTTATGAAATAAAGTTCTTATTTGTGTTTATTATTGAGAGCTCAGGTCACAAAACCTGCCTTATGAGACGGCTTGAAAAAGAATCATTTACCTTTCTGTTAAAATAAATGTTTATGGCATTCCACACATTTTTGGCGGGGTGTGTGCGCAGTGGCCCTGGGTTTGGTCTGAGTGCATGTGTGTGGTCCTGCCGGAGCACAGCAAGGGACATGCAAGGCTGGGAGGTGGGTGGGAATGGGGGAATGGAAGCTGTTACAGATGTACCTGGCAGGCCCCCTCCTGACTGCTGCCCGTATAAGCCAGCATTCATGCAGTGTTGCCCAGCTCTGCCCGTGAAACACAGGGTACATTTAGCACGACGGGGGGCAACACCACCCTTGGAGCCCATAAATACAAATACTTCACATCACTGAAATGGACTATTACACACACTCTTACAGACATATGCACATTTATATTCAGTCTAGTGCCTATACATTTTACTGTATTAAATGAGGATTTTAAACAATCTGTGTAAAAAAGGTTATCTTAACCTCACACAGTGGTTCAACAATTCAACAGCAAAACATGCTTCTTTACAGGAGGAGAAGATGCAATAACAGTGCGAACCTTTTACTCGAACGTTGTTCTAAGTAGTTTCTAACGATAATTTATTTCGCTTTGACAGCAAAGACAGCAGGAAAAGGTCTTTCGTGGCGCATTAGGAAGGATGATTGCATGAACAAAACTTGAAGGTATCATTATACAATGCAATGTGATTGTTTTACAGATATTCGATGTCTGTGACGTCAATTAACTTGCCTGTTTGTTCTCTTTTAACATACATTCATACTGCATCATAATAAAGGTAAGAAGTCAAGTCCAAAACAGAGCCACAGTTGCTCATCAGGTCAGAACTCATTCTAGTTTCTCCAGTGTTAAGCAGATTAGAAAACCTGTGACTCCCCCCTGGATGGGAGACCAGTACATTACAAGGATTACCTCCCAGCAATGCTGATCCCTGCTTATAAAACTAGGTGAACTGAAGCAACTGGGGCACAGTACCTCACTTAAGGGTACAACAGCAGTTTTTCAGAAGGGACTTGGAGCCACAACCTCTCAGTCACATATTCAAAGGCTTAGCTACAGCACTGCAGACACCTGAATTATAATAAACACAGATCTCTTTTGAAAGCACTGCGTAGGTCCTATCTTAACATTTGAATACATTGACACAGAGGATTAGAAGGTCATGGAGCAATACAAATAGGAGGAGTTAACTTAATTAAGATCATTAAAAAAAACCCAACACATGATTCCTTCTTGTGGTCAGGTAGATTGATTTACAATCTTTGTGTTTTAAAAGTTTTAGACTAGGATAACAAACAGGTTTCCATTTTGCTTTCTCCTTCACGGTGGGAGTCCTAGAGCAACAGAGCAAGTAAGAAACACATACAAAGAAGGTCAAAGGTAATTTCGCTATACAATTGTTTAATAGGAAGTTAGGGTGGGGATGGTAGGGTTAAAATCTTAGGTAAGACAAGTGTTTTATGCTTAAGCAAGATACGTTGCTCAGATTGCAACATAAATAGTCACAAATGTAAGTTACTTGCACTTAAAGTCAAAATAAGAATAATTAATTTACCAGATTGTTGTTTTATAGAACCTATCAAACATCTGATAGATGATAAATGGATTAATAAAAAAGAAAAGATTGTTCAGATATTTCCGACTAATCTCCTTTTTTTAAAAAAACTGCTGGACAAATATTAATATTATTTTAATACCATGTACTGGTTTCAGAAACAAATCTGCATCAGAGAAAGGTAATGGCTTTCATTCAAACACAGCCAGCTTTGCAGTAAAACTATTTTAAGAAAGCCAGTGTTCACCAACATTTTATTAGTTATTTATTGAATGACCTGTCGTTCCTGCTATTTTATTTCTGTCTTTTCAGATCAACAAAGTGGATATTCTGGTCTGTGGAGCCCTGGAGGACGTAGAATAGTTAAGAAAGGACATCTCTAGGCCTGCCAACATGATTATAGCATTTGTCCTTTCCAAACCAGGCATGCCTTAGGTTTCTACCTGGCCCTTCAGAAATAAATAAGCCCAGCAGGTAAGGAGTTAATGGAATCTGACTAAGGAATGAGAATTCCTCATTGTGGTGGCTGGTAGCAGCTTCCGGTTGCTCTGGGAAATCTGTTAAACTGAAACCATCCTGTGAATCCCAGTGAGGGAATAAATCATCCTTAACTAGCCCCCTCACACACCATACTGAGCCCCAGCCAAAAAAACTAATGGCATGTGTTTCTTTTCATTTGCTCTTTCATGCAACAGGATACATCTTTCCCAAGCTCTAAGCATGATCCCCTCACAGAAAACAGACTAAGCCATTTATTCAAAAAATCCTTTATTAATTGCATCATGGAAAAGCAAAAACTGTAACTTAACAGAGCTGCCCAAAACAGCAGCACGCATTGCAGATACACATGTCATCCACATGGTTAAAAGGGGTTGTTTCACACTATTCATAAATCATGGACATGGAAAACAGTAATAGCACTTTAGAGGGAAATACCAGACACAATAAGGTTAAAATATCCACAAATATCCCAAAGGGCTAATGCTTTAGACCTTTATGTTATTTAAAAATACCATTTGTGTTCCTTGGAAGATTCTGTTAGGCTACTTGTGTATTTTAGACGCACGCGTCTGTTTTTGTTTATTTCGAACAGATTACATAAATTATAAAATACATGATGTCCAAACCCTGACTCGTTTTTCGTTTTGCATAGTGTTCCGTAATATTTCTTCATTTTGATGACGAAGACTATCGTAACTTTGCACATTACAAAAAGAAAACGATTTACTAATCACCCATTATGTAAGCAGCAAAAATAATAAGAGAACATTGGCAGGTATTTTCCTGTATAACGCAGGTGGTTTGGCGCCACCTACTGATAGGTGCGCAACTGGTTAACTATGTATGCTTTCAAGGTGTAAACTTCCCGGTTTGCTTCGGTGAAAAACAAGTTCCGCTAATGCCTAATTTCTGTCGTTATCCCACAAACCTGTGTTGTATTTTATATTTTTTATACTAAATCGAATTCTGAATATCACGTGAGTGACATGATTGAATAAAACACGTAACTGTACGAACTGATAAACGGAAGAATTAAGGTCCTAAAACGCCACGTTCAAACCACGTGCAGACTCCTTACTAATTAGAACGGAACGGTGGAGAAAAACAAGGCAAGGTTTATTCGATGCTGAAAAGAAAAGAAACGAGACACATTGTGTAAGCATGGAATAAAACTTTACTTGTTCCTTTGCAGCCTATACATGCTGACGCAGCTACCTACTTAAACTTCATGCCATGCGTTAAAACACTGCATTTCAGACAGAAGACACGTAAAAATGTCCTGTGCTTAACTATATGTATAACATAGTGGCTAATAATAATAATAATAATAATAATAATAATAATAATAATAATATAAGGCATTATTGTACGGTATTTCTTATTATAACAACACTTTTCTGAACACATGGTTTTCTCCACTTCACCAACCATGTGCAGCACCCACCTGCAGCCAAAATGCGCCAGGATGCTCTCCACACATCAGCTATCAATCAGGAAAAGTCATGAAGCCAATTCATAGATGGGGACAATTAGGCCATGATTGGTAAAGCAGGGAGAGATTTGGCAATGACACTGGGGTAGCACCTTAACTCTTTTCGAGAAGTGCCCTGGGATTTTTAATAACCAATGAGTGTCAGAACCCCAGTTTTACTTCTCATCCGAAGGATGGCGCCTTTTTTACAGTCTGGTGGCCCCATTACTGTACTGGGGCATTAAGACCGACGCAGACGTCAGGGTGAGCGCCCCCTACTGGCCCCACTTACTCCTCTGCCAGCAGCAACCTTAGATATAACCTAAGAAGACCAGCCTTCAGCATAGTGACAAGTTGAACAGAGAGAATTAAGTGACAAAATGTTAACTCTTGAGTGTTAAATCTCCTGATCTCCTAGATTACCTGTATGAGTTTTTTAAATACATGTTTAAAATCTCTTTGTTTAATAAATGCATTGCAGAAGCTACTTCAGCACTTTATATATATTTACATTAAAATAGGGCTATACTGCACAACTATCAGCTTGGCCGAATGCTTTCATGATTTCTTAGAAGTGGTGTTATGGCAATGGTTTGGAGAAGCCAGCTTGGAGGAAAGGGTTAACCTTTAGTTGCTCCCAATGGCACCAAGGAACCCCTAGAGTGCTAAATAAATTCCCTTTTCAATCCCAGGACAATGCGTCTCAGTGTGAAACAATGCGGACCACCTTTACAGTGCTCCTTGGTTGAGCCCCAGCCATGTTTTAAGTTTTCCTCGCTACTGAAAAGCACCCCAGCCGCCCCCCACAGGAGGGGTCTGAGTACCTCTTCTTTAGGTCCTTGGCTGTAAGCCTTCACTGCTTCACAAAGAGCAAGACCAGGCCCAGCCAGTTTTATTGAACAAAGATGGTAGCAAGGCCTTTACTACTCCTTTGATTTATTCTCAGACAGGCCAGTAAGCACATGCTGTCTCCATTCTTAAGCAGCCAAGAAAAAGGAAGGGGTAGGAACACTGTAAGCCATTAGGGTGAGATCTTAAAGTGACAATAAACCTGTTTCTGCCCACTAGGCATGATCTTATGTCTATGTATGAAAGTATCAGGTTGCACGGTTTGTATGTGTATTTATCTAAATGCAAAAGCTTAAGGAAATCTAGTAATAAAATCAAAACTTGACATTTAAATTAAAAATCTATTTATGCTAGATGGTTTTTGCATTTCATTTAACTTCATCAAAGCCTAATCTAATTTTATTTGCAACAGTTTACCTGACATTCCTTGTTTCAGTCATGAAAACCGTCTTTAACTTTAATGCCTAGAAATAAGTGATACAACCTTGTGTTTGAGAACCTGGTAAATTTACAGGACATCCACTCTACTCATCACTCCAGTAGGTATTTATATTATTGCAAACAGATACCCAAAATATTTTTCAGTTTTTGAGACCCAGGTGTTACCTTTCTGAGGCTGTGATGATGTCACCCTCAGAGACTCCCTCTTCTGAAGAGCATGAGGAAACTGAGCACCGAACTCTAGGATACAGAATGTATCAAGGAAATTAATTGCTTGTTTTCAATTCTAGGCGATTTACACACAAAAAAGTTTGCAATTTTTTCAGATTGCCAAATTCTAAGTCGATTTTCCAAATTAACATTTTCAAAGCTTCTAAGTGAGTATGTGCTAACTCTTGTTTTCAGGCAAACTGGTACAAACACTCCTTCATAAAATACAACAACAAAGCTGCAGATCAAAAGTGGTCATGGTAAATATACCACTTTCGGGCTTGTCTCTGAGAAATCACTGTTGGTGTCTCAGGGATTGGGGCAGGCTAATTTCTGCCTTGTAAGAGGAGCTAGTCCCAGCCTTCTGAGTTCTATCAGATGTGGAGCAATTGAGAAGAACAGTCTGGGAAGCCTCCTTTAGGCAAATAGTGATCACAATTAGTGGACACAGAAACATACTGAGAGCTCCTTCTTTAATTTCCATGTTGCTCTGAGGTGTCTAGTGTCTAGGGTCCCACAGTGACTGGTTCTTCATTGTCAATCACTTCCAAGTGTATATGTGAACAAGATTTGTTTGGTTGGTACGTATGCAGACAGACACGAGCTAATCAAAATAGAAACACGCAGTGCAGCTCAAGTCCATTTCCCATGTGTAGTATGGTCTTTTGTCATTGTCCGACATTTTCTTTAGGGAAAATTTATATTTGTATCAACGTGACGTGGTGGTACCGTTTGTTAGCATTTCTGTCTCACTGGGGCCCCGAGTTCAATTCCTGGGGTGCTATCTGCTTACAGTTTGTATATTCTCTCCTTGTTTCTGTGGGCTTCCTCCAGGTACTCTGTATTTGGAGTATGGCTCCAAAGACATGCTGGTAAATGAAATGGCTTCTGGGAAAACAAGCCCTGGTGTGATGGTGAGGTGTTACTGGTATGTGTGTGTGCCCAGTGTCCTGTCCAGGGCATAACCTACATTGCACCAATTGCTTGAAGGGATAAGTTTCAGCTCCCCCGCAACTGTACAAGGAAAGGTTAATTCCACTTTAGTCACACCCTAAAGTTGGGTGAGGGTAGCATGGGTGGAGCTAAATCAGATCAAAACTTACAGATAGGAAACTGCTTGCTGGATGTGATGGTAAAACCAACCATGGGTATCATCCCACATCCACATTGAAAAGCAGGAAGGAGAAACACATGAATAAACCTCAACAGCTTTATAATTTACAGAGTGGAATTAACCTTCGTTTCTTTGCAGCAAACGCATGCCGACACAGCCCCCCACTCGAAGTTTGTCAGTTCCACATCAGTCATTCAAAGATGAAATAGCATTTAACATTTACTTTTTCTGGTTGAACAAAAGACATTTATGAGTCCAGTACACCAACTGATCTTTCTTCAATTAGGGTGTTCATCTTTACTGACCTGTGGTTTAAGTTGGTCTTCCTTCTTGGTCTGGTTGAGCTCTGGTCTCTCCCATAGCCCGCTACATTATAGATAAGCATATTGCGATGTTCACCATTAGTGATGTACAGGAAGCTTCAATTAAATGTTTCACATACATTTCAGATTGTATGTAATGAGCCTACATTACCAGTTAAATATGATTAGAGGACACAAGCGTTTACATCTTGATTGCTGGCATTATTGGACTGTGGTATAGTTTTCATTGATACCACATGCACTTTCTTGAGCAGCAAATGGATTCTGTTAAAATAAGTAGTAATTGGTAATTATCTTTGTACTTAACTATAATTGTATGTTTGTATACAAATGATAGAGTTATATGATTACCTCCTCGAAATATACAAATTGTTAAAACTTATAGGTTAAAATATATATGTTTTAATTATTTTTGATCAAACACAAACAGAGACAGTTTATCAACTGATTAATGACAAAGATTTGGGTCTTTAAAATATAAACACATTTTCCTCTTGATAAAATATTAATAATTATAATGTCAATGTTTGCAGTAGAAAAGTAAATTTTATTGCATTGTGTCTGCTTTTCAAATTAATTTGGTTACTTTAAAAAAATACAAATGTTTTTTAAAAGTAACATCAACAGTAAAGAATAATCATTGTGGAAGGTCAATTCTGAGAGCAACTTCTTTACTTTTGATGTATGTAAATAAGATTTCCGGATAACTTGTATGAGGCGTGGGACTCTGCGTATTGTTCGGATATTATATAAATTCTTGATCTTCTCCATAGGCAATATTGAAATAATCCATATTTATTCTGTAGTTCGAGTTCAGCTCACACAATGTGTACCCACACAACTCACATTTATCATGTTTAGTGAAATTTAAATCAATCAGTAACCACCACTCCAAAGCCTTTAACATGTAATGGCTGTTAACCAATAAGAAGGATGTCTACCTAGCTGTGGCCTTCTCTGTTTGTCCTGTGCTCTCTGTGCATATTTCTGATGACAGACTAGTGAGGCTGTGCTTCTTGTGAGGTCTACAGGATGACAATTGGACATTATTAGAGGAGCAGGATGTTGACTAACGCAGCACACAGATTCGTTTCCTGCCTGCCGAAAACCACTGCAGGTTTTCACACAGGAACTTTGTCACAGTGTATCAAAATACCAAATTAACTCTTTCTCTAAAGAAATGTTTATTTGACAATTGACACGTTTAACCAAGATGACAGTTTTAAATTAATTTCTGACTTGTAAAAACGCACACAGCGGTATACCAAAACATTTAGAATTCAGTTTCATCAAGGTATTATGTACATTGCAAAGTAATTATAACAAGTATGGTGAAGGGCTACAATACTAAAATAAATAATATGGACTTGTGATAGGATCTATGTTTGAAGTCCAATCTCCTTTCTAATTTGTATTAGTATCAATTTATGCTCTTAATTTTTAAAATTTCAAAAAATTAAATTTTGCTGTGGTGCCCCACTGCAATTTGATTGCATATTACATTTTGTTGTATCATTCTGGTATTTTACTGCTGTGTCAGCACAATGTGACCACGAGATGATTTCTTCATATTAATGCATGCTAAACATCTACAAAAAAATGATAAAATGCTACCCGGTATGTGAACTATTATTTAAAAATAGAATTTGTAGCAAAGATCTCTTGTCCGTGGAACACATAATAGTATTAATTTAAAATATAATCATGACACAAAATGTAAGTATAGAAATTGGTTGTCTTCTAGTCTTTTTTGCAGTATATACTTATTTGTTCGGCAAGACCAGAACGAAGAGCTCAAAGCATAGCTGTAAAAATCCTAAAACCCAAACTGATCACTCAAAAGGCAGACTTAAGTAGCTTTAAACAGAGCATGCATCCTCATTCTGTGACACAGCTACTGAAAATGTTGCAAAATGTCCATGGTTTTTTGTAACTCTTCTAAAGTATGGGATTGTTCTTTTGTTAAAAAAAAAGTTTCAGATAATCGGTGATGCAATCTCATCACCATTCAGCTGAAAATGTGAGACCTTGAGACTGCTGTCCCCTCCTGGATCAGAAACACGTTCTCTGTTATGAAAGAGTCTTCTGTGCGGAGGAAGAAGAGCTGTTTCACTCAATCTTCTCTTTCAGCAAAGGTGTAAAGAATGGCCTGACATCAAAGAGAAGAGTAAAAATCTAAGTCTAGCAGAGTCTGAAACTGGACCTCTTGGCTCACTCGGTCAGAAAGAGGTCAGCTCAAATAGCATCTAATATCACTATCACTGAGCACATTTGCTCCTCTCAATTGGCTCACACAGATTGCTGGATGACTTTAGGATGTTTCTCATCAGAGCAAAGTTTTTTTTTCCCCCTCGTCTACTCTAAAGCACATGCTTGTGTTTTCTTCATGCTGGACTTGTCATTTGAAGAAAAATACAAGTTCTGAGACTGATTATCTTGCTCATTTCCAACAAATGAAATGAATCAACAGTAAAGGCAAATACCATCAATATGCATACTGATCAAGGGTGTCATTTTGTCGTCTGACCGAATTGCACTTGAAGGCTTTTGATGTTAGGAACCGAGGAGAAACGCGCCGGAGGGAGACACACCTGACGCTCCTGCCCTTCCTGCTGAGCAGCTGTGTGGTCCAGTGGTCCAGTGCTTCCTCTCTGATGAGCTCCATCAGCAGGAAGTACAAAAACATGAACAGCTGGTCATACAGGCACCCACCTCACAAAAACAACATCACGTGAGCGATGACAGCTAAGGCTCTTTCGGGGTATTGAACAGGAACATTGCTGCATTCCTACCTTCATTAGCAACAGTAGTATCACCCCTCTTATGCAGAATGCCACCAGTGACGTTTTAATTAAATTTTTTATTTGATGTTCCTTATTAAACCACTTTTAAGGCTTTTGAAAAGCAAAGAAGCACTAGCCAAAGGGCTACTGTATATTATTATTAATAATAACACAAGACATTCTACAACCCTCTGAGACAGTGTACATTGGAAAAATTGATTAACAGGCTTCTGTCACCAAGACACCAAGATGAAGTCTGAATGTCAGATGCTACTGTTAAAGGTGACGTCAGGTAAAATAAAATGGAATAAATATAAAAGAAGAAGGTGCCTTAAAACAAAAAAGCTCCTTTTGCGAAGACAGAGGGAGGGTGAGAATTCAGTCGGCTGGTGGTGGCCACCTGTCAGGAGCTGAAATGTGAAACAGATGGACCAGCTGCACTTCTATAACTCAAGGTCATGCGCCAAGATTAGAGGTCAAACGCTGCCTTGCTATAACAAGCAAGCTTTGCAAGGGCAACAAAAGCAGACGAGCGCTTGGTTATAAAGCCAGGCTGTACTGATAACAGGGACTGAGACACAGAAAAGGTGTAATCAAAATTTGAGGTGTGAAAATAACACTTGCTAAGCCTTACAGTAGAATGAGGCATCAATTTTCCTTTATTGGGTGTCACTAAATAACACTCCACAACAGTCAAAAACATTCTGACAGGGGTGCTTTTTGAGAGTGTTATCACTCGTTATAGAACTGCATCTACTGATTTTTAGTTCTATACCATTTTCCAGTTTTAGACTCGTATTCACTACTGTTAGTTCTAAGTAAAGTCCCGTATCTTCTTGCGGTTAGGTCTATACCATTTCTCCAAATGTTACCTAAAGCTTAGCTCACAAACAAAAAAATAATAATTTCAATTTTATGGGGTGAAAATACATATGACAAAAAAACTGTAAACACCAGTTTTCAGTTCTGCTTTCAGTTCAATTATTTTGCAAAAATTAAAATTCCAGAGTGACATGAAGGTGTCTAGTGTTCAGTCCTGGTCCTGGAGGGCTTGTTTGTCTGCAGGTTGTCTAGCCCAGTCTGAAGCACAAGCACCAAATAGCTGGGAGAAGCTGTTACATTGATCTAATTAAGTCAATAATGAGCTAATGTAAGTCATTAAGAGTAAGCCTATTTCCCCAGTGTACAGGGAAATAGGTGCTATCTGATGAAGCCAAACTGATCAAGCCTTTAAAGGAGAATAGTAGTTTCTTGAGTAATTTAACCATTTTATTAAATTCATTTTTTTAAAATATTTTAAATCTGACAATCTGAAAAAAACCTCTAATACCTAAATTTAAACTAATGTTCAGTTTAAGGCTAAGGACAGTTAGCATTTGCGTCTTCTTGGCTTGCTGTGTAAACTTACAACTTATTGCTAATGAATGGTTGCCACCTAGTGGTGTTGTTACAAAATCCGTTGTGGATTGAAAACGAATGACACAGAATCTAAAAATGACATTAAGGCACTGCTGGTCCACATTCCAATGCACAACATATTGCTGGCTTTCATTCTTTGTATCTTTGATCGAAAAAGACACAAACTAATACATTCTGCAGATATAATACAAAACCAGTGGACTAACTTAACTTAGTTCTTCTAGTTTCACCTTCATGTTTTGTCGTTCAGAGGGCCCAATCGCGATGCTGGATGCCCCACATACCTGCTATGCTCATTCCAGATGACATATTTACCTAATTGAATCCCTAATTGAAATGATTGAATTTCTTGAATGGATCACTTGCACTTTTTTTCTTTTTCAAAGTTTGGAATTTCATGTTACTTCCGGAATACAATAGTTAAAAAACCTATGCAGCATATATAAGAGTGTCAAACACTTCTAATGAAGTCTGTTATTACGTCAAATAAGGGTTCAGTTCTGTAACTGAGAGCTTGGCCCCCAGTACCTTGATTAGAGACCCCTGTTGAAGTTTCAATGAAACTAGACATTGCTTCTCAAACAATGGGATGCATCACAAATAAATCCATTTTTCCTTAGCCTTGTAAGAAGACATTGTTTCTGATAATATCTCATTAGAAGATGCTGCTGTGCAAAAGGTTAAGCAAAGAACTGGTTTTTAAACTGGCATTTTCTCAGTTAACTGCTTATCTGGTATCAAAAGTGGGAAGTGATTTAGTGTAACTAGATAATGTACTGTACAACCCCCCCATGGTTAATCTTTATAAATTGGGTTTGGCTGCAGTTTGCCAGAGAACTCTTAAGAGCTAAACCATGCTTCAAAGTAAAGCACACACGTTCTTGCATGTCTACCAAGGGTAAATATTTGCTGAAAAGTGAGATGAGGTGCTGCTGCTAAGTAGCTGATAAAGTGCAGCATAGCTGGTGTTTATCAAAATTTGCACTGCTTTCAGACCAGGTTACTGATTTTCCACAGAGGCACTTAACCCGAACTGGGCTGTCTTATTTCAGTGTTCACCAGGTTTTATCTATACGTCATACACAATCAGCACTAAATGTATGAAGAATGAGGAAAAAAATGTCAAAACTGTCTCATAAGATTTTGGGTAGTCTGAGAGATACTCAAGTTTTAGTGTCGAACCCAATTTTTCCGACTATATCAATAGTACATTTCCACAATGTTTTTCTACCACAAATATTTTTTTAGAGAAAATATATGCAAATACATTTGCAAAACTGTGGATTTAAGATGTACTGTACTATAAGCATAAATAAAAAAATATATATTAAGTATAATGCAACTTCCACTGACAGTAAATTTAAAAACAAAACATGGTCTGACTTGCCTCACTAAAAGAATTAAAACTTTTATAAAGATTTGATTATCACAGTTTCAGTTTTATTCCCTATAATCCTTATAATACCCACAAAACATTCATTGAAACAATTTAGTCACTAATCACATCATTTGTTTGATCTAATAGGTCACACAGAACTTATTAATTCTTAGTTCATACCCCCAAATCCAAGAATGCTTAAATATTCCAAATCTTGAGCTATACCTTTTTGCATCATAGTGCTTCTATATTCATAATATATTTAACACTTCAAAAGAGGACCCATGGATATATAACATATACTGTATAGATAACTGTCATCTAAACTACAGACATATTTTCCAGGAATTATTCACAAATTCCAAATACTGATAGCTTCAGAATGAATAATACTATTCACCTTTGGTTTTAAAAAGGATCCACATATATGCAACTATAAAATAATACCTGAATTAATATCCTAAATACCTACCTTTCCTGGCATTCTTGGATATCTACTAGTATAAATTAGATGAATGATTAGAAAGTATTATTGCGATAACATTCCCTACATTTTAATGAGAATTTCAAAGACTGCAGAACTTTAAATGATTCAAAACTATTAATTAAGGTTGAATCATTTACTTTTCTTCAGTTTAAAGACAGTAGCACTCAAAAAACTTTCAAGAGAAAATACAGATAGCCATGGTCAATTGGAACTAAAATTGTTTTATAAGAAGAAAACTCACAGAAGAAAATTCTGCTCAGGTCATTTTGTAACAGGCAGCTACAATTCAAGAGTATTGGAATCTAGATCTAAATGAATAACTGTAGTCTTTGACATCCATAATACCCATAATACCCTGAAAAACTTTACAGTAATTGTCCAGACACTTGTTTAAAATGCCATATTCAGACAAACTCTTTGAAAGAAATTTCGTTGGGATTGCTGGAAGATGTTTGTGGAGTGAGTTTGGAGAACTGGCTGTCCTCCGCATTACAGACAATTACAAATTTACCTCCCTCCCATTGCCTACATTAGGGATGGCAGAGTCCATTCCTGGAAAACAGCAGTGTCTACTGGTTTTCCTTCCAAAGGAAGAAAGCGACGAATGTGTTTCTTTTCCTAATAAGACTTATTTCTGAATTTGTAGGGTTTTTTTTAGAGCCGTTAGCTTACAAGACACATTTGAGTCAAGACATATTATCTATGGGTCTTTTTTGAGCCTGGGGAAAAGTATTGAATTAATCCAGGTAATTAGGCAATTTATCTAATGAGGCAGGAGATGCTTGTCAGGACTGAAAATCAACAGATACTGTGGTGCTGAGTGCAAAAACAGTCCAGTTTTAAAAGATTTGGGGTATATACATATCAGGTATTCTCTAATTCAATATTCCTTCTGATAGAAATGCTAAAATTAAACCATTGAGTTTATGTAAGTATTTCTGGGTACTATGATCCCACACACATGCAGTACATGTGTAGAAATACAGATATATGGGAGTTTGCACAGTACGGTTTGGATAAATCTGCCTTAATGAAGGTCTTCCTCATTATATTACCTGGAACTGATTAATATGTAGACATAGATTAATATGATTAACAAATAGATAAGTGAGTTTCCTCCTCTCACCCTCCTCGTTTCTGATATACTCTTATCTGACTGAAATTGTGGATTCCTCTCTATAAAAGTTTTTATGAACAACTCAGGGAACCAGATTTAATAGATACCAAGATTAGATTTTTATTTTTTGTTATTCTCATTGGACGTATTAGCTCATTTCTAAAGGGAAGGAGTGAAAAACATTCCTCAGATTAGCACACAAAAACAGAAATGTATATATATAATGAGAACAAGCCTATATTTCACACTAGAAATCTATATCAAGCAACAGTAATTACAGTTAACACCTGTTTATTTATTGAATTTAACAGAAAAAAACAGCTTTGGGTACATGTTATGTACTTTCTTTGAATTGGATATGCTGCAATTTCAACATATTTTGGTGACTTTTAAACACACCATGATTGTAGGCATATACAGCCAAAATAATAAGGCAATCCTGAACTAAAATTAACAGAAAGAACTGTCTGCCAAAGGTGTAGCCCTAAATGTGACAAGGTAAGTAAAAGAGGACCCATGTCCAGTCCAATTGTGCAGGATGCTCTCTTGAATGAGCATGTTTGAGCGTCTTGAATAAACTCTAAAGGCAGCACTTATACCTGACAACTAATGCAAGAAAACAAGACCAATTAATCAGTGCCCAGTGTTTCAGCCTAAACACAAGCAAAATACTGTAACCCATTGTAGATACTGGCTTTTACAGATGACCATTATGTATTCTCCTCAGACAGATTTTTAAAATACTCTAAAAAATAGCACCTATCTAGATGATCTATTCTCCCAATTCAGAGGAATTAAAAAGACAAAATGATTTGTTTCAGGCAGGTAACAGATCATCAAAAAAGCATCCCACTTACTAACTATATTTTCCTTCTTACAGAAACCTATGCATTTCAAACAAGAAAGAACAGGCATGGAAAATATCTTATTCTTTCCACCTCAATGTTATGATCTGTATGTCCATACATAGGCCTATATATACAAGTCTACAGACCAGGTTTCTGGTCACTGTCTGGGTAATGTACTGCGTATGGAAGTGAATATTTCTTACAAGGGAGTAACTGAAACTGACAACAACAAAGTAATATATGCTGGTTGGCATGCTTCTCATGCAATTCAGTAAAAAGGATTTGAAAGGTACTTCACTGGCTTCTAGGCTATGTTGTTTCCTCTGAATTATATAAAACGTCACATGCATACTTAAGGAGAAGGACCAAAATTTTCAAATCACAGTGAGCGTTTTAGAAATCTCACAATCAAAATCAGCAACAGTATGTTGCATTGGTCTGTAATTGAGAGCAGTACAAGCAAAGGAGAGCCTAAGAGTTTTTCCACCAGGTCACAATTGGAATGAAGCTCTAGAGGAAAATGGGAGATATCAGTTTCCTTACCCAGTTTCTCTATAAAAAATAACCTTCAGAATCTGATGTTAGGTGATATAACACAACTGATACATTCCATTAGAAACCTTGCAAAAATTGGGAAATGTTTATAAACGGGATACACTTTGGAATTGTAGATATTGTAGCTTGTGAAGCAGGTGAAAACTTTGCAGCTGAAGAGACACTTGGTAGGACTCGGCAGAATGGCATCCCTGTTCAGTGATTTGGTTGCCCATCCCTCCAGCAAAAAGATAAACAAAATCACTTGGGATGTGGGACTAATACCGACACAGACTGACCCTTTTTGAATACCATGCTATAATACAAAAATGGCATATAACCTTTCAACATTTAAAAGGCAATTCAAATGGTGACTCAAGGAGCTCATCCCTAGATCTATGGTAAACCCATTTCTTACTGGCATTCATTTATTGGTCTCC